TCCTTTTCAAGTGTTTAATGGAAACTCAATAGATGCTTCTTGAGAATCTGAGGAAAATGTAAAATGTAGATAAAAGTCATTTCTTTTGTGTGTCTGTTCTTCCTCAAAATTTTATATGAAGCTTTATCCCATTCGAATTAATCATCTCAGCAGTTAATCTTTACTCAAATTTAATGAGATAATTTTAGTTTTATAAGAATTGTGACCTACTCTTTCATTCATCCACCTGATGTGCAACTTGTCCATACTTCAAAGTGTTTCCATCAGCCACAAACTAGAGCTAAAAACAATGCAGTCAGATATAAACTCTCCAAATAGACTTCTCACAACTGCAGAAAACTTCACTAAAAGACAGATCAATCTCTTCCACATGAGCACCTAGCTATAATGAAAAAATAAAAAACATTCAGGATTAGTAAGACCTACTTTAAAATAGACTGAATAACAGATTTACAAATTCCCTTTTAAAATATTAATTTGTTAGCTGTTTCTAGTTTTAATGAAAAAATAAAAAACATTCAAGATTAGCAAGACCTACTTTAAAATAGACTAACAACAGATTTACAAATTCTCTTTTAAAATATTAATTTGTTAGCTGTTTTTTGCTACAAGACTGCTTCATGACTGCTTCAAGACTGATTTCTTGCATTTACCCATCCCATTAACTGAGTACCTTGAAAAGGTTTAATTTTTGATTCAGTTGGTATATTCCATCCTTTTTCCCTACTACTAATAAATGTATTCTGTAAATTCCAGGGAAGGAAAAATAAAGAAGAAGCATTTTTGCTTTTTAAAAGCTGCTAAAAAGCAATTTTGCAAGGGATTTTCAAGAATATGGCACACCCCTTTAACTTTCCAAAACTAACCATCCAGACCGCTGTTTTCCACGAAGGACCACGACAGCAGATCACAAAACAACAAAAAAAACCAAGACCCAACCAAACCACCAAGAAAGCCCACCCCACGTACATTTCCTTGAGAACAAAATGTTAGAATTTTATTTATCCTCAGCACCTAAGCCTGTCTGTTTATTGAGAAAACTGTAACACCACGCAGGATTTTTGCAGCCTGTAGGTGCCAGAAAAGCTGGTTAGTTTTCAGGACATGCCCTTTTATAGCCTTTCTTCAGAATTTGTGGCTACAGGCACAGGACCTGACTAGACCCTTTTCTTCCATTGTTTCTCCCAGCCTTGCTTTGCAGAAACACGAAGAATGGGAGTAAGGACTCAAGAGACACAACTGCCCTTTGCTAGCACTCAAAACAGAACAAAAAAGCCAAGCTCAGGTTTGGGGTGCAGAACAAGAGCAGATGGCTTAGCTATGGAGGGAAGAGCAATAGGTGTCTCGCAGCAAAACATGGCTACTCACAACCTGCAGGAGCCCACAGCAGTCCCGTGTCCCAACATCCCTCATCACCAAACACTCCAGACATCACGACTAACTGGCAAGTTCACAGAAACCAGCAGCTAACTGTCACTTATGCCAACAGAGTTTGGGATCAGACTGTTTCATCTCCATTGGTGATTCTTTCAGGAATCCACATACCACCACACAGTAGGATTTCTAAGAAACTTTTTTCCCCTCCAAAGCAAACTGGGAAAAAAAAAATGGAGCTGCTGTTCATATAAAATCCACATTATAAAGCATTAAAACACCATATTGAGCATTCTGAAGGGGGACATTTTAAAATTAAGGCTACTCATATACATTATCTTCATCTTAGTTAAAAAAAAATAATAATCAACAGAACAAGGTTTATTAGTTTTGATTTTTCTAACATTACAGAAAATGCTTGTCCACAATGGGCCAATTCACATGAGTGAATTATTTTTTCAAGCATTTTAGCTGTACAAGGCTGTCACTTCACACACACGCACCAAAAAAAAAAGCTTAATAACAATCAAGGTTAAACAGCTTTCACTGCAACATGACAACTTTGTTACCTCAAGCGCTGAAAAGAAAGAAAGAAAAGAATTTTTGGAAATCCACGTTTTACTGACTTCAAAAGAAAAATCCTGAGCAAGACATACAAACAGGCAGGTGAAGTATTTCAGCTTTTGTGACACCCAGAGATTCAATCCTTTGTAAAGGGTTCCCCCCCCGGTTCTGAACATACCCTTGTTTCACTAGGGAAGTTACACTGAACCAGACTTAACTCACTAAGTATCACATTTCCTTAACAAAACTTTTTCACCAAGAAAGTAAGGAAGTTCAAACAGGAAATCCACCTTTGGTAATGTAGCACCACAACCAAAAACAAACTACTTAATGCTACGAAAATATAGCATTGCAGATTTTCAAAAGCGATTTTTCCCTACCAAGGCACCAACCATTGCATTTCTTAAAAGTGATCTTGCAGAAACGCATCATAAGATCATGTAATTAAAGATTGCTAAATGTGCGCAAGAGGCGCTCTCTTCAAACGGATTGAACAATCTCAGTCATTTCAGACCAAGTTGATCTTGGTCTGAAACTTGCAGCGTAACTACCAGACGTTACTTCAAAACTCACCTAGCTCCCTGCTCCTTCCGGCTTGCTCCAGTAGCAGCAGGTGAGATAAAGGTATCACGTATATTTATGTAACTTCTCGGTCTTGCACAAGAGCAGTGCTATAATTGCATTTCTGTTCCAGGCTGCTGGCAGAAGCAGAGTTTGCATGCTGCTTTAGAAGCATGCTCAGGCCAAACTTACTTAATAGGTTTGGGTATTAAAGCATCTGTCTTTACTCACTTTAGATGAGAGTTGATAGGAAGCTAGCCAGCAGAAAAGCCTGTCAAGTCAACACCTTCTTCCTCACCTGCTGTTATTGGTTTCACCCAAGCACAACTATTCAATGCAGGCCTCCTAAATTCAACACTTATTTTCAACCCTCTGACACAAGGGTTAACTAAAAAACACTAAGAGAATCCTATGCAGCTACTGAATAATTTCCAAACTGCACGCATTCATGGTGACTAGACACTAGGACAGAAACAAAAAAGACGCATGCTAACATATACACCAGTACAGACCCAAGGGGAGGGAGGAGAAACACTGTTTTCCTTCAGGTGAACCCTAGGAGGAATATGGTCAATATTCAAGAAGTCTGAAGACAAGGTGGGGGAGGTAATAAATGTAGTTAAACGTGTCTGCTGCACCAGCACAAGGGAGCTCAAGCCAGGGGAGAGCGAAAGGCCCACAGCACGGTTGGAAGATTCATCTTCACTTACAGCATGAGGGTTTAGTTATTTAACCTGTTTTTTCAGCTGTCAGTCTTATTTGTGCTTGACATCTCATCTTTAACAAACAGCAAGAAGCAAAGCTCATCTGCGACGTTACAATGTGTGTAACAGGAAACTGGTATGCTACATCAATCTTCCAGGACAGTAATAAGTCTGCAAGGAATTTGAGCTGGGCTGTGGAGGAGTAAATTGACAAAGGTTTATAATCACAAAGAAGAAAATTAGGAAAATGTTATATTTAATTACATTTACATGCAAATGGCATACATTTCAATGTACCTGCAAAGTTCATCTCCACTAGCCTTCCTACTAGAGTGACATGACAAGTATTTTGACTGCAAATTTGTTTACATTAAGGACTATATAAATCACGGCGCAAAGTCTTGGCAGCCTGAAAAAAAACATTCATTTTGCATCATTATTTTGCCGCTTGCTAAACTGAAAGTGGTTCAGTCAGCCATACACAGAGCTTAGCATACCAGAGTATCTGCTAAAGATACCGGTTTTCTAGACAGCCTACAGGTTGTTACAGAAGGGCGACATTGTTCCTCTCTTTCGCCAAGAAGTCAAAACTGCGCAGACTGAAATTCAGATTTAAGAAAAACACTTTCTTTTTACAAATTAAAGGCCGATGAAAACATAAAATAAGCAATCCCTACAGAAAACTCCAAAATAACTACAGTTCTTCTCAGGTAAATTATTTACAAGCCTATGGGGGGGTTGGAAGGATGCCGTGTCTTAATGGGCAAAGAGAAAATGTCTGACTGACAAGATGTCTTAGCCCCTTCCAGCACGGGAAGGCGATCCCCTGCTGCCTAATTAAGGCACATTCCCTTCTCGTAAAGTATTAACCAAGCGCACGTTTCCCTGTCTGGCACTATATTTGTCATCCTTGAATAAATGACTTGTGTATTGTATTTCATGTGCTCTTCCGGCCCACATCCTGCTAGACACCGACCGCTTATGAGTGGGACCGGCGAGAGGTTTGCCGAGATAAGCGCCAGATCCCGTTTCTCAGCGAGATGCATCAACACTGACAGAACACGGTTATGAATAAAACAGTGACCGTGCCTGTAATAAAGCAAAGCTCTGCAAGGATCAGATAAGAAGGGAACAAACACGTACAGGTGGGATCTGCCTCTCTCAAGGCATCTCTATCCACAGGAGCAAGGATGCACAGGGCAGTACAGACTAACATCAGGTTTTCCTATAATTGGCCTTTGATGTGTTATCTAGTTTTATTCATACAATTTAATCTGCTTGCGTGGAGACCGTGATCACTGCAACCCTTAACAATTGCTCTAACTACTGGATTGGTAAAAACTATTCCAAAACCCTAACTCACAGGAAAACAAGAGTCATCCTAGTTAATCCTACCTTTGTATCCTTTACATAGGATTGATGCCTGACAAGGTAATTTAAAACAACATTAAATTTCAGGCCATCCTCTCAGGGCTGGTAAGTGAGCACCAAGCCTTCCCCAGGGCGAAGCTGCTCATTACCTGCACTGGGCTTTATTTCAGATGGGTCCCTCAACAAACTCGTGAAATAACACAGCAAAGGAAATGGGGGGATACAGGGGAATTAAGGAATCGCACGCTCGGATCGCCACTTTCCCGCAACTTGGCCGCGTCCCCGCGCTCAGCGAAGGGCGGCGGGTCTCGCTCCCCGGGGGAGCCTCGCGGAGCCCCCCCGCCCCACGGCGCAGGTGCGCGGCGGCCGCTACCGGGGCCGCTACCGGGGCCCCTCCCGCCCCCGCGGGCCGGGCCGGGCACTCACGATGGTGACGCTGGCCTTGCGCAGGTCGCGGTTCTCCTCCTGCAGCGCCTTGCACTTGAGCTTGTAGGTCTCCAGCTCGATCTTCAGCACCTTGTTCTCCTGCTGCAGCGAGGCCAGCCGGTTCGTCAGCTCCTCCAGCCGGAACGGCGCGA